CAGTGGCTGTCCTGGGTTTTTACCTTTGGTTGGGTGTTGGTTTTCTTTCTCTAAAATACAAAGGAGACAGGCATGGAGACACATAGATGCTGTGGGGTTTAATAGAAAACTCAGAGAAGGGCTGCAGCAATATGAGAGGGGGACAATATATACAGTCTATAGACTTGAGTTCCCTCCATGCATGCATGGTGTCTCCTTTATAGAGCTCACACGTATACTGTATATACACTACAATGTTTTCCTTATTGGGCTTATCTCTTATACTAACCGTATTGCTCTTAATCCAGCTAAATATGCTGTAGGTGATGAGGTCAGTGCTGCTGCTGCTGCTGCTGCTGCTGCTGCTGCAGCAGCAGCAGCAGCAGGAGCAGGAGCAGCAGCAGCAGGGAATAACACTCCACAGCAACATACACAGACAAGACATACAAACGCAAATACACCAGCAGCAACAGCAGCAGCAGCAGCAGCAGCAGCAGAAGCTGCAGCAGCACAAGTACCTGTATATGCTGGTATTGTTCTAGCCCCTAACCTAGAAGTAGTAGCGAGGCTTGCATCAGCAAAAGATATCTCCGCGAGAAGGAGACAAACAAAACCCCACACACAAACACCACCAAACAGAAACCAACAACCAGGTATTCATGTCTCTCCTGCTGCTGCTGCTGCTGCTGCTGCTGCTGCTGCTGTTGCTGTTGCTGCTCATGCTGGACCTGCTGCTGCTGCTGCTGCTGCTGCTGCTGCTGCTGCAGCTTATCTGCAGCATTTTTTTTCGGGTGTATGCGTAGCTGTAGTGTCTCCTTTTGGGTGTATATGCATCTCTTTTATGTGGTGTCTCCTTTTGTGTATATATATGCATCTCTTCTGTCTCCTTTTGTGCATATATATGCATCTCTTCTGTCTCCTTTTGTGTGTATACGCAGCTGAAGTGTCTCCTTTGCGTGGGGGGCCTGGCGCTGTCTCCTTTTGTGTATATATATGCATCTCTTCTGTCTCCTTTTGTGTATATATATGCATCTCTCCTATCTCCTTTTGTATATATATATATATATATATATATATATATATATATATATATATATATATGCATCTCTTCTGTCTCCTTTTGCGTGTATACGCAGCTGAAGTGTCTCCTTTGCGTGGGGGGCCTGGCGCTGTCTCCTTTGCTCGGTGGCAGCAGCGGCTGCAGCCGCTACAGGAGAGCCCGTCGCTG